TTTTAGCACTTGATATCAATATATTTATTTGTGTATTGTCTACCTCCATCCTGAGAAGGTGAAGTCTTTGGTGATGAAGGCTTTATCTTATTTCCTGCATAATATTAAACTTCTAAAAAGTTCCTAGCACTCAATAGGCATTTAATAAACACCTATCAGATAAATGAATTTTTTAAGAGAACACATTACATGATGCTTACTAATAGCAATACAGTGACTCACTTTATTTTTAAAGTAAATTAATGCAAATGTGTATATTATTTAAAATTGTTTATTTTAAGATAACAAGCCTGATAGATAATAAATTTTGGTATAAATATGTTAATGCTTGTCAAAACTCATCAGTATGTACCCTGTCTTTTGATGAAAAAGTAATAAAAAGGGGAGAACAAAGAGAACTGTCATGCTCACTAGGCAGGCCGAGTGCAGTTCTGACAGCAATGCAAGAGAAATATTGCTATCTCCGTCATACACAGGATGAAATTTAGGCTTGGCGAAAACAACACTGTTAAAGATTTTATAGCTCTTCAAGATTTGACCAAAGCCTTTAAAACTTCAAATGTTCTTTTCCTTATTACACTATTTCTTATCAGGGTTTGTGGACTTTGGAAAGTAAAATGAAAAGTCAGAGCAATGTGAGTCAGTTTGATAATCTCAGTGTCCAGTAACAGCTATCCCCACTCTGAATATATACCCACCAACCTCTCCCCTTTCTCCAAGGAAGTTGGTTGTTGGCAAAGGCATTTCGTGCAGTGCACTTTGTCATTCTAACCTTCCTTTGTTTTGTATGCTCCTGTTGCTAATCATCCTATTTCTATGGGCTTCCGTCACTCTTTTAGCTTTTGTCTTGGGAGACTTCCTGGCTCTTGACATGACTTTTACAATAATCTTCTCCCCCATTGTATTTATATATCATTAGCCTACCCCGCTCCCCTTGTGTTTTAGAAGAGTTTTGTTGTCTAGCATCCCTGCATACTTCCCACCCTGTTACCTGCCCATGTCCTGTTCATACACTTGCTCCTTTTTCCCTTGGGCAGGCGAAAGGAAAGCTAGGGACTGCACAGTCAATGAGGATGAACCAGACTGCGTGCCCTGCCAAGAAGGGAAGGAGTACACAGACAAAGGCCATTTTTCTTCCAAATGCAGAAGATGTAGATTGTGTGATGAAGGACATGGTAAGAGTCTTAAAAAGCAATTGAAAGAGATCAATCTTGGAATTCCATGTAGAACCATTTATAAGACAATTTGAAATTGGGGCCTACTGTGGTGCTGTGTTGACACACAGGAAAGGGAAGGACAGGTAACTAGGGTACCGCAGGACCAGGTACTGAGCTAATTACTGGTCTAGACTTTTATGAGTAAGTCTAGGCAATTCTTACAGATATAGGAGAATGACTAAATATGAACCCTAGGAACAGGGTTCATCAGCTCAAATCAAAATCTCAGAAATTATTTTGTTTCTGGCCTTGACTTATGCTTGTATAATAGTGCTTGTTCATGACCAGAAAAAGTTCAGAAGCCTGCAGTTACAAGGACACAGAAATCCAACAGTTGGGTAGGAATGCTCCCCATTTCTTTGGAGATTTAGTTGTTCTGATAATTCCAGCTGGGGACCTGAATTTTCATGGATATCCCAGTGTATTCTAAGGGCCCATATTAAAATATAACACAAGTATTTCTAGTTTTGTTTGACATGGAGAAACCCCTGGACATAAAGCTTTTCCCCTCCCTATTCAGCCTATAAAGCAGTGTTTCTCGTCCCTGGCAGTGCATTAGAATTGCTTTGGGAGCTACTAAAAATGTTTCATGTTTAGGTCCCACCTCAAGGCAATTACATCAGAGTCTCTGAGTGAGGGCCTTGGTACTTGGTATTGGCTTGATTGAGTAAATCTAGGGTAGAGCCTAACATTCTACATTTTTACAAGCTCCCAGGTGATGCTGATGCTGCCAGTCCCCAAGTCACCCATTGAGTGTTAAGGCTAGAGACTAGAGGAACAGGGGAGACATCTAAGCAATGGCGAGGTTTGTCTTGGTTTGTCTGCTAAATAATTGCTGGCCATTTCAACCTGGGGTTTCCTGTTCTGTGTTTAAACACCAACTGTATTACTGGTGTCATGCTGTGACTGTTGATATAAGCAGTGGATCTCAAAAATGCATGCAGCTCCTGCCCACCATTTTCATAGTCCACTTTTAATTAGCCGCTATAACTAATAGTTTCCAAACTGATTTTCTAGGCTTAGAAGTGGAAATAAACTGCACCCGGACCCAGAATACCAAGTGCAGATGTAAACCAAACTTTTTTTGTAACTCTGCTGTATGTGAACACTGTGACCCTTGCACCAAGTAAGTTGTAGTCTTTTTCTGATTAAACCACTAGCTATAACATGAGAGTTATCATTTTCCTAGGGAGGTAACACTGACTGAGAGTTAAGAACTAGGGTTCTGGTCTTGCTTTGCCACCAAGCAACTAGATGACCATTTGCTTATTTAAACATTAGTGAACACTTCCTGTGTAGGTGACACTTTGCTGGCCACTTAAGCTAAAGATGTGAGCCAGACACATGCCTCGTATCAAGCTGTCAGTCCAGAAGATTATGAAATATTTGGAACTACTATTATTGTAATCAAGAAAAGCAATGGCTATTGTATTTCGGCAGCATGAGAATAGCATCAGAAGAGACTTATGTTCCAGGTGTTACAAATTATACAGGAAAACTTTTCAGCTCTGCCTGAGGAGATGGAGGTGAAGACGTAAACGTGTCTCATGGCTTGAGTCTTGAAGAAAGAAAAGAAAGAGCATTAACAGGTGCACACGGAAGGAATGCACATTATAGGCAGGGGAACAGCAGCTGCAAAGAGACAAAGGAAGCGCAGGAAAACAGAGTACATGGCTGGAGTGTAGGAAAGACTAAGAAGGGGTCAGGGCTGAATCATGAAGGGCCTTGTCTTTCGGGTTAAAGAAGTTGGTTTTGACCCAAAATTAGAGAACCTGACTTGTAATTCATCTTGGGAAGCTAATAGGCTTAAGAATTAAGGGCATGATGCTTTATGTTTTATTTGCTAGGAAAATTTTATGTACAGTTGTCCCAGGCTCTCCCCTGGCCCCAAGTGTCTGAGAATACCCCTATGATGACAGGCTAGGTAGGCACTTGGGAAGCAACTGACTTAGTAAAATAATAACAATAATAGTAGTTCCAAATATTTCATAATCTTGATTTAATTTTCTTCTCATCATAACCTTTTGAAATAGATAATATTACTTCCATGTTATTGATGAGGTAATAGGCTCATGACAGTCTGACTTCCCAAGCTCACCTAGTCAGGTAACGGGCAGAGGCTGTGAACTCAGACAACCTGACTGTGAATGTCTGTCTGTCTGAAAGAAATCACATATGAACCTCTTGAGTCTCCTGATCACCACCGTATGCTAAAAGTAGCAGCCTCTAAGGGCCAGCTGAGTACCCTCCCTGAGCCGCTTCATGGGCATGGCTATCACCTGGCCATTTTCTCAGCTATGGGAATTTTTTGGAATTACTCTTGGCAGTTTAAGAGCTAGTTTAAGCTGTAGGATTTATGTGTTCAGTTTATTACCAGGTTTAAGTTTATTTTTGTGTCTACTTCATCTCTCTTGTGTGTCACTATTTTCCTATCTTCCTTTAACTCTTGAAATCTTAAAACAGAGTCATTCCTTATGATATTTTTCATCCAGCCATCCAAATTATATCAACTTGTGCCTGCTTTAGATACTACTCTAGAAATATTTGAGGGAATATGTTTGCCAGAGATGCAAAGACGAATAAAATGGCCCCTAATTTATAATGTGCCATTGAAAATGATCAAGGAATCATTCCTCCAGGCTTTTGAATTTCCCCTGTATTTTGTTTTCTAGGTGTAAACATGGAATCATCGAGGAATGCACACTCACCAGCAACACCAAGTGCAAAGAGGAAGGTAATTATTTTTTGACGGTTATATTCTCCTTTCCCTCATCCCCATGGAAAGATGTGAAGAAAAACCAATCACTCTTGATTATTTGAGAGTCCTTTGTTTAATCTTAAAGATTGCTTATTTTCATATAAATGTCCAATGTTCCAACCTTCAGATTCCAGATCTGATTTGCTGTGGTTATGTCTTCTTCTTCTCCTAATTCCACCAATTGTTTATGGTAAGTTCTTGCTTTGTTCAAACTGCAGATTGAAATAACTTGGGAAGTAGTTCACAAAGATTTGCCTTATTCTTACCTATAAAAAGCTACCAGTTCGGTAGATTTATGTATTGTTAACTTCTTGCCTCTGAATGCAGCCTTGAGAGCTGATAGATAAGAACAAATGAAATCATCCCTCAGCTAGTTTCTGAGCAACGGTTTTGGGGCATTGAGTGGTATTCTAATCCTTCCTATGAATAAGGGTTCTCTGCAGCAGTGGAGTTGGCCAAAAATCAGAAGTAATTCTTCACTATTCATTGAGATCTCCCTATGCAAAAAGAGAACACAGGAAGCAAAGGCATTCCCAAGAAACACATTGCAGGGAACGGTTAAAAAACTTGTACTTCTCTGCCTCCTCTTCCTTGGCCTAATGGCTTGTTTTTAATTATTTCTCCTCATTAACTTAAAATACTATGGGAACACATGTTATACAAAGGTGACTCAGTAGAGTCAGTAGAAAAGCCAAAATTAGGTATAATCATAATTAGTCTAGAAAAATCCCTTTAAGTCATTCATCAACTACAGGGTCACACCAACTTTCGGTAACTTAGAAATATCCAATTTTCCCTTCTCTGTCAGAACAATTCTCTGTTTCTTCGGTTCAGTTGAAGAAGAAAGTTTGCCTTGCCATTAGCAGTTGTTTAGCTGAAAATACATTTGGGATATTTAAACACTATAATTGTGCTCAGAGACATACAGATTCTTCTATCTCACGTTGACGTTAATGCATACACCTACTGAGTATGTATACTTGAGTTATTTGTGTGTGTATTTCAATTTCTGGGCATCCATAGCAAGTTGATGTTGACTTGCTTGTTCTGCAGCTTCTGTGTCCTGCCATAGTCTTGCCGTCCACATCTTTGCTGGACAGGGAGTGGTGCTTGCCATATAAGTCAAAAACCATCTTCATGCTAGGCCAGCTCATGGTAATTAGATGACTAATTAAGATATGTCCTTTCACTAGAACACTTGACTTGGTGGTATGAAAGTTTCAAAATCAGCTGCCTTCTGTGGTGTTTGGCCACTTTTAAGTTTCAATGAATTTCTCCTTTTCCCTTCTTATACTTCTCTTAGTATGAAAGTATGTTCTCACCTGCATTCTACAAGGCTGAGACCTGAGTTTGATAGAATGTCTTTGTTCTTTCAGTGGTGATAAAGAAAGCATGCAGAAAGCACAGAAAGGAAAACCAAGGTCCTCATGAATCTACAACCTTAAATCCTGTAGGTATTGAAATAGGTATCAGCTTTCCTTAAAAAAAAAAAAAAATAGAGAAATTAGTGATTTGGCTTTTTGTTACTTCCTTTTACTTTTTTGTTTCTTGTTTGTTTGCTTCATTTTGTTTGAGATGGAGTCTTGCTCCATAGCCCAGGCTGGAGTGCAGTGGTGCAATTATGGCTCACTGCAGCCTCAAACTCCTGGGCTCAAGTGAACCTCCTGCCTCAGCTGGGACCCTGGGACGACAGGCATGCACCACCATGCCAGGTTAATTTTTTTTTTTTTTAATTTTTTATAGAGACAGGGTTCACTTTGTTGCCCAGGCTGGTCTCAAACTTTTGGCCTCAAGCAATCCTTCTGCCTCAGCCTCCCAAAGTGCTGGGATTATAGGTGTGAGCCATCACATCTGGCCTGTTACTTTCTTTATTTAAACATTGCTTGTGTTTGTGTGTGCATAGGTTAAAGGGGCCTCACAGATGAATTATGATATGGTACCCAATTTAAAAGTAAGCTTCTACACAAAAGCCGTAAGAATCAACAAAGGAGGGAATTGAGAGTGTGCTGAAAATGAGCTGAAAAAAAAACATGGCCAACCTCCATGTTCCGTGTTGTTGTTATCCCTGCAGAGAAACAGCCTTTACCAGGCATGGGTTCAGTATCCAAGCCTGAGCAAAGAGATTGCTCTTAAAGTTTGTCATAAAGGCTTAACTTTCTCTGGCTGCCGGTTGACCTTATGTCTCACCATATCTTTTCCCAACATGGTATCAATACATTTCCGATAGCAAGAAATACGCCGAGAAAAGAAACCAGGTGCACTTGATGGAATTATTTTATTTGGGACCAGGGCTCGGTGGGAGTTAGGATTCTTTAAATTAATATGGTAAAAAAAATTTCAATTTGAGCCATTTTCTGGTTTTAAAAATAAGAATAGTTACAGGGAAGAAAATTTTAGAGTGGTTATATTTATCGTTTAATAAGTCTACATGAAAAATAACCTCAACCTATTTTATGAATTCTTTAGGTTTCTTGCCTTTAAAAACTGAGACAATATTGCTCAGTTTCTGGCAAGGCTGGAACCTTTCAGAATAAAAATTGAATGGTAAAAGTATGCTTCTTAATCACTTAATCTAGCTTCCTAATTTTATACATCAAGCAACTGATTGTACTTCTTTCTGAATTAAGGAAAAATTAGAAGTTTACATTTAGAATATGCTAAAGATATATTTTTATTTATCTTTCTCTGCTTCCATTTTTTGCTTTCTAGGAAACAGCAATAAATTTATCTGGTAAGGCTTTTATTGTTTTATTTCATAGAGATGGCTTCCTTTAGAGTAATAGGCCGATTTCAGAGTAAAATAATGTTGCTACTTTCAGTGACGTATTGTGGGATCTTGTTATTTCTCATACAATTTTACCTGCTCAGCATAAAGCATTTATCAGGCAATTTGTTTAAATTTATAATGAATACTCATAGATAAAATAATCAAGTAACAATAGGACACAATAGTCTGAGGCTTAAGAAACTTCTCCTACATAATCAGCTAGATGTATTACAGAACGCCTGCCTAAACGAATCTAGAGGTTAAAGTGCACTGTAGACTCAGGTATTATCGGTGAACCCAACTCTGTAACAACATACATGATTCCATTCAGTTGTTCTTTGATCTGTGATTTAGGGATAAGATGATCATAAACTCTTTGCTTATACTTTTAGATTTGTGGATCATTGATCATTGGATCCATGAGAGATGTTATAGATGATCTTTTCCAATCCTCTTATTTTATAAATGAGAAAAGAAGACACAGAAATGTTATATATTGTGCCCAGGTTATTTAACAAATTACCGGGTACATGGCAGGATTTGGAGTTAGAACTCAAGATTGCCTTGTTTCTGTATTCCCGCAGTCAGCTCTTCACAGATCTTTAGGACTTAGCTATATTCTGAAGTACTATAAAAAGAGAAATAAACATGGTTTTCAGTAATGGGAATTTCATTTAGAAAAACAAATTTTTAGACTATTTTCTATTTTTCAGATGTTGACTTGAGTAAATATATCACCACTATCGCTGGAGGCATGACACTAAGTCAAGTTAGAGACTTTGTTCGAAAGAATGGTGTCAGTGAAGCCAAAATAGATGAGATCAAGAATGACAATGTCCAAGACACAGCAGAACAAAAAGTTCAACTGCTTCGTAATTGGTATCAACTTCATGGAAAGAAAGATGCATGTGACACATTGATTAAAGGTCTAAAAACAGCCGATCTTTGTACTCTTGCAGAGAAAATTCACGCTGTCATCCTCAAGGACATTACTAGTGACACAGAAAATTCGAACTTCGGAAATGAAGTCCAAAACTTGGTCTAGAGCAAAAAACAACAAATTCAGTTCTGAGTATATGCAATTAGTGTTTGAAAAGATTCTTAATAGCTGGCTGTAAATACTGCTTGGTTTCTTACTGGGTACATTTTATCATTTATTAGCTCTGAAGAGCCAACATATTTATAGATTTTTAATATCTCATGATTATGCCTCCAAGGATATTTAAAATCTAGTTGGGAAGACAAATGTCATCAAGAGTAAATGCAGTGGCATGCTAACTACCTAAATAGGAGTATATGCAGAGGACGAAAGATTAAGATTATCTTCTGGTATCTAACATATGATTCTGCAGTATGAATGTAATCAGTGTATATTAGTACAAATGTCTATCCACAGGCTAACCCCATTCCATGAATCAACAGAAGCAGCTATGACCTTCTGTTGGAATGTCAGTTACTGAACAGGCCACTTTGCCTCTAAATTACCTCTGATCATTCTAGAGATTTTACCATATTTCTAAACTTTGTTTACAACTCTGAGAGGATCATATTTATGTAAAGTATATGTATTCAAATGAAGAATTTAAATAAGGCTCTACCTCAAAGAATTTTGCACAGATTAATTGTATCATAGAATACAATATTTCAATTGTGAATTCACATAGAAAACATTAAATTATAATGTTTTACTATTATGTATGTGTATGTCTTTTACCGGCTCAAAACCACCTACTTCTTTCTCAGGTGTCAAAAGCATTTTGAGCAGGAGAGTATTGCTAGAGCTTTGCCACCTCTCCATTTTCTCCTTGGTGCTCATCTTAATGGCCCAATGTACCTCCAAACATGGAAGTATCATCAAAAAATTACTTAATCCACCAAAAGGCAAGACTACCCTTAGAAATTCTAGCCTGGTTTGGAGATACTAACTGCTCTCAGAGAAAGTAGCTTTGTGACATGTCATGAACCCATGTCTGCAATCAAAGATGATAAAGCAGATTCTTATTTTTCCCCCACTCCCCAAAATGTTCAATAATGTCCTATGTAAAACTTGCTACAAATGGCAGCTTATACATAGCAATGGTAAAATCATTATCTGGATTTAGGAATTGCTCTTGTCATGCCCTGTAGGTTCTTAGATTTAAAAGCCTTCTCATTGCTGCTGCTATCCTACATTTAAATACCTTTGAAAGTTTGTATTAAATGTGAATTTTAAGAAATAATATTTATATTTCTATAAATGTAAACTGTGAAGAGAGTTAAAAACTGAAGCAGATGCCTAGAACCACCTAAAGAACTTCCATTTATAGAGGATTTTTTGCCCCTTGTGTTTGGAATTATAAAATATAGGTAAAATTTTCTGGTTTTCTCTTTTTTGGTAGGGGCTTGCTTTTTGGTTTTGTGTTCCTTTTCTCTAAATGCTGCTAAATATAACTTGTTTATGAATCTTTAATGCTTCTTGGGTTTCTTAGAAGATACTACCTTTTTAACCTTAACACTTTTAGCAGGTAAATAATTATTTCCATAAGTTGCAACTGCCAAGAAGACCTCTTCCAAACAGCACATGATTATTTGTCAAACAGCGTCATATTCCAGATACTGGAATGTGGATAAGAAAGTATAAATTTCAAGGGGTAAGTTTTATTATTATTATTATTATTTCATTATACTTTATGTTCTAGGGTACATGTGCACAATGTATAGGTTTGTTACATACATATACATGTGCCATATTGGTGTGCTGCACCTGTCTCTTATACACATCTAGATGTGTATAAGAGACAGCATGAATTCATCCTTTTATATGGCTGCATAGTATTCCATGGTGTGTATTTGCCACATTTTCTTAATCCAGTCTGTCACTGATGGACATTTGGGTTGGTTCCAAGTCTTTGCTATTATGAATAGTGCCACAATAAACATACGTCCACATGTGTCTTTATAGCAACATGATTTATAATCCTTTGGGTATATACCCAGTAATGGGATGGCTGGGTCAAATGGTATTTCTAGTTCTAGATCCTTGAGGAATTTCCACACTGTCTTCCACAAAAATCCCACCAACAGTGTAAAAGTGTTCCTGTTTCTCCATATCCTCTATTGTTCCCTGACTTTTTAATGATCGCCATTCTAGCTGGTGTGAGATGGTATCTCATTGTGGTTTTGATTTGCATTTCTCTGATGGCCAGTGATACTGAGCATTTTTTCATGTGTCTGTTGGCTGCATAAATGTCTTCTTTTGAGAAGTGTCTGTTCATATCCTCGCCCACTTTTTGATGGGGTGTTTGTTTTTCTCTTATAAATTTATTTGAGTTCTCTGTAGGTTCTGGATATTAGCCCTTTGTCAGATGAGTAGGTTGCAAAAATGTTCTCCCATTCTGTAGGTTGCCAGTTAACTCTGATGGTAGTTTTTTGTGTGTTTTTTTTTTGCTGTGCAGAAGCTCTTTAGTTTAATTAGATCCCATTTGTCAATTTTGGCTTTTGT